ACCGTAACGATGAAAGATCAAGTCAAAACTAATCATTACCCTACAAAAAGTACTGAGATGAAAAAGCACTAATGACAATAAGAGATATTTTTTTGTCCAGAAGCAGTCTATGAACTTTCCAAAGAAAAAATCGTATTTTAAATTTAAATCTCGAGTGCCATTTCTGTGTTAAAACACCGTGTCTTGTCCTAGCAGGTTAAAAGATTCTTTAATCGTATTTTTAATCATATCTCATTTTTTTTCAAATGGAACGAGGGTGGCTCATTAGAATATTTGGAAAAAGCATTTTTTACAAATAATTTGGTACCACACGCTTGGTATTTCGGAGTCAAATTGTCGATATGAACCGCATGTTACAATTTCAAATAAAACATATACGAAAATGTCAAAAATTAACATATGATGTATCATTCTATTCAGGTGTCATTAAATAAATAAAAGGGTGTCATTTAATATTATAGTAATACCTAGTAATATTATCGTGTTACTAAAAGCGATAATATTACTAGCCTGTACATTTTGTACATTTGTTGTTTTAAAAACAATCTAAAATGTCAATTTTCCATGGGTATATTGATAAATGAGGTCTAAATTATAAGAAAATGCATTTTCTACGAAAACTTGAAGGAGTAGGTAAGAAGTGGTATAATACAATTTGATACACATTAAATTGTGCATCTGATTCTCATAAAATATACAGGGTGTTCTATTTAAATTAAATAAGTTATTGCCGTTTAAAGCTAGTAATTATTTAAAATAAAGTTTTAGACACTCTGTATAAGGTAGTATAATTTTTATCATTGCAACACAATAGCTGATCAATAAATAAACTTCAGTAAATATTTAGTATTAAAAACTTTGATATCCTCGGCGAAATGAAGCCTTAAAATGTATCCTGCAATTTCGCAAAATTGAAAATATTTCAAAAACGGTAAGGTTTAAGTGTAATAAACCTTAATCAAATTTTCCTTTATTTTAATAGTAGAAACTAAAAATGCAATAATATACAGGGTGTTCCATTTAAAAAAATACAACTTTCATATTTTTTATTTATTTGGGACACTCTGTATCTTGTAAAAATATTTTTAAATTGTAGTTCTAATAGTCCTTCAACTAACCCAAAACTTACAATTTGTAAAAATCTAATCGTTTAGCTACAATACTCCGTGTCGTATGTGGTGAACAACCCTGAATATATTGTTTATTGTCGTAATAGTCATTGTGTGTATTCTGGCCTATGGTTTGTGTTTTGTATTTCTTTTGTGTTAATATCACTAATATTACGTACCTATCATCGGAAGTACATCGTAATTTTTTCTAGATATAATTGATAGCTAATAAGTTTCATTGACTTTAAATGCTAGATTAAGTTTCATTGGCTTTTAGCAGGATAGAAATAAATTGAATGTAAGATATTTGCATAATCTTGTAGACTCTTACCGGGATTTGCCTAGTTAATCGGATTAAAAATAATATGGCGGTTTTTTCAGTGAACAAATGTCGCTCGCATGCAAATTAATACGCCACTAAAAACATACTTAATTTTAAGACGTTGTAACTTTAGAGATTGCAGCTTGTTTTGCTTTGTTTTTTCGAATTTTGAACTTAATAATACGGATATTTAACAGAAAATAGGAAATATTAAGTGCATTCGCTTAATTAACGGTAATTAATAATCTAGTGTTTCAATATGTATTTAGGACGTTAACCATTTAAATTCATTTTATAAGTCTGTGAAACGAATAACTTTGAATATGACAGTTCCCGCGGGCTTTTTTAGTGTTAATTTTGTTAGGTTAGCAACTTGCGGCCATGCTGACGCAATGCCGTCTCTAATAGAACAGCCTCGAAGCGAGATTTATTACGTCACGCTAGTTAAATACTACGGATTAATAAATATGTTGTAGAATACATGGAAAACATAATAATTCCTCGTATTTTTGGTTTGTATTTTAAAAATGATATAGTTTACATGCAATTAACCTATTTATAGTAATAAATAACTTTCGCAAATAAACTATGAACCATACAAATGCAGCAAATGTTTTACAATATACAAATAATGAATAGGTACATAAGATAATGGGTAAAATGTAAAACATATTTTAAATTTTGGGGTTTGAAAATCGATTTAATTTAACAAACAACATTCAATAACTACTACTTACTATGGCTGAAATCGTATTCCATAGTCAATGTAGATAGTTTTAGTGTTAAGAATAATAATTTAAAAAAATACGTCGTCATCTTTTGACAAGTTTATATTAGTTTATTAATTGCAGTAAACATTATGTGGTGTGAATATTTTATATGTAATTTTTTGGATTATATTCGACACTATTTTTTTCATATGACACAACACTGATGAAGGCTATGATGTTAGCCGAAACGTTTTTTTAACCAAAAAAAATAATGAAAAAACAAATGAAAATTTAATCAGCGTTTTTCCCGAACCTAAATCCCAAGAAAATAAAAAATTTTAGAATAATTTTACATATAAAATGACAGCGATCTTTATTTCATAGCCATCGCTGCAGCCTTTTTTCTATGATATTGTATTATTTGCAAATATAATTTTTCGAACATTGATACTTGCAAAATATACATATACATTTTGTGAATGCAAATAATAATACATCACTATTAGTAGATATTGAATGTTTTTTGTTAAATTAGATCGATTTTCAAACCCCAAAATTAAAAATATATTTTACATTTTACCCATTATCTTATGTACCTTTTCATTATTTGTATATTGTAAAATATTTGATGCATTTGTATGGTTCATAATTTATTTGCCAAAGTTATTTATTACTATAAATAGGTATATAATATATATATATATATATATATATATATATATATATATATATATATATATATACCTATTTATAGTATATTATATACCTATTTATAGTAATAATATATATATATATATATATATATATATATATATATATATATATATATATATATATATATATATATATATATATATATATATATATATATATATATATATATATATATATATATATATATATATATATATATATATATATATATATATATATATATATATATATATATATATATATATATATATATATATATATATTTGTATTTATTAACTGTATATTATGTATATTTCATGTAAACTATATCATTTTTAAAATACAAACCAAAAAAAAAATACGAGGAATTATTATGTTTTCCATGTATTCTACAACATATTTATTAATCCGTAGTATCTAACAAGCGTGACGTCATAAATCTCGCTCCGAGGCTGTTCTATTAGAGACGGCATTGGTCTCATATTTAGAAATGTCAAAAGCTGATGACATTTTACTTTTGACAATTGTGTTGGACTTGGAACTGTCACTTGTTTTATTATTTTCCTTTTCTATTTCACGAAAGTAAAAAGAGTTACCTATCTGATTCGTTCAGGCACTCATTTTAAAGAATATCAGTAACTTTTTTGACAGAGGAATTTTATATTTACCATGTTGGTAAAAAATAACGGTCACAATTCAAAGTTATTCATTTTATAGACTATATTAACTCAACACTTTCTGTAATTATACAGAGTTGTCAAACAATTCTTCCTCAGTCTGTGATATTATACTTCTTCGATATGTTATAGAGTTATACAGAGAAGGTTGATTCTCACTATACCTTCCATTTCCATTCCATATCCATTCCATATCCATTCCATATCAATTCCATATCCATTCCATATCCATTCCATATCCATTCCATATCCATTCCATATCCATTCCATATCCATTCCATATCCATTCCATATCCATTCCATATCCATTCCATATCCATTCCATATCCATTCCATATCCATTCCATATCCATTCCATATCATATCCGTTCTGTATTGTTATTGTATTGACGCTATACGTAAGCTTCCGTTCCGTATCAGTTCCATATTTTTATTGTACAATTTATATCATTACGAAAGTTTTATTTTAAAAAATTGTATCTTTTCAAAAAGGTAATAGATTTAATTAAGAGATGAAATGATGAATAAATATCAGCAAAATTTAAACAGAGCTGGTACAAGAACTTGACAACGCTATTTCCGATACGCTTCAGTCCTTCGGCCAAAAAAAGTATGGAAGGAAAGGATATGGAATATGGGAATTCGGGATACGAAACGTACCTATAGAGTGATATACATGATTACACACACATTTACATGATTACACAAAATTTACATGACTTAAAACAATGGCCCTCATATATTGGGTGGCAGAATATTGCTGCCCTGTCTGGATAAATAGCAATCATACTCATCTTATTGACACTCGTCTTAACAGCGCGATGAGAACTATAACGGGCACTATCAGAAGCACTCCGATCCAGTGGCACCCCGTATTATCAAACATTACTCCCCCTAGAGTGGAAAAAGTGCACCAGCAATGTTCATCTTTCCATCTATGATGATTGCGAAAATTTCTTGAATCGCTTAAAGTCCAGAAAACCGCCATGGGTATTAGGGCAGCAGCTACTAAATTCCAACTTTAGGGTTGAAGACTGCTGGCGAGATGAATGGTCACAAAATAATCCTGACCTTCATCACTTGATAATTGACCCAGTACTCTGCCCTGCCGGATTCAACTTACCAAGAAAAACGTGGACACTGGTGTTAGTTAAGTTAAAATAAATTAATACAACGGATGGCCAAATTCTTTTAGTATCAGATAGGTTCTTTTTTTGATTTATCGTAACACTGAAATACTTGTGAAATGTAACCTACTTATAGATGGATCTATCTACCTGGAGTTTCATAAAACGTCTAAAAGTTAACTTAGCTCTTAACTTTAATATTACCATTTTGAGATTATGAGGCAATATATTTTTTTGGAGATTACTATATCTTAAATTTTGATGTAATACTCTAATGAAACGTAGATTTATTATAAATGAACATTTATAATGCAAATTTAATATATTATTAGCTATAATAACAGTTTATTTTATAATTTTAGGTCTGAACTGGAACAGATTCTCTTCTTTGCCTATTCGAAAGTCCCGACTAGCCAAAGAGAATGGAGTCAGCATCATTCCGAAACCGAAACACAAAGACATATCGCAATGGCTCAAGGACTTGGACTTGGAACAGTATATTCCACTGTTCAGCAAATTCCAGGGAGTGGAGGATATCCTGGAATTCAACGAAGGGGACATCAAGGATTTGGGAGTGAAAAAATCCTCGCACAGGGCCACGATTGTCAGCAGTTTGACATGTCTGAGAGGGAAATACAATGGTAAGTGTTGTTAAATATAGGAAAATTGTCCATATATATATATATATATATATATATATATATATATATATATATATATAGTAGAAGAATATATATATATATATATATATATATATATATATATATATATATATATATATATATATATATATATATATATATATATATATATATATATATATATATATATATATATATATATATATATATATATATATATATATATATATATATATATATATATATATACATTAATGTATTAATGTATATTTCGTATATAAGTAGAAGAATCTATTCGCGGGGCACAAACGATGAACCCAATAACAATGTTTTTTCTTAATTTTTTTTTTATTTTTCTCCTTATTTTATGTTTAGTTCATCCTCTGAGGCTAATGACATTTTCGATAATAATAAAATTACTGGTGAGTTGAAGCAGTGACACTAACGTCGCGTCGCTTGCTACTGCAGTGCACATTGCCCTTGTTTATATATTCTTAGCATTACACTTTCATTGCCGCTCTTCCAGTGCTACGCCAATTAACCACCATTTCTATACCTCACGCCTTTTCTTTACCGCATCACCGCCACATCACTTCAGTGCGCCTGGCCCATAGACTTAAAATAAAATATTTAAATCTATGGCCTGGCCTTTTTTTGTTAGAGAGCGCTTGGCCTAATGCCGGGTCCAGACCAAGCAGACAAAACAACGACAAGACAGAAACATTCATGTTTTACGACAAAATTGCGACAATCCAATACATTTCTGTGACATTTTTGTCTCATTTTTGTTTTGTTTCAAAATTCGGAGACTTTTCAATGTCCCGTCTCGAGTCGGTAAAGATCAAAGTGTCTATGTTTTGTTCGTATATTTTACGACAAGTTGTCGGCGCAGTGTGGATGGCGTGTGCTGCTAACAGTAGGAGACCAATGAAATCACCCATAGTTAATAAAACTCATTCGCAACAACTACTTGTTTCATTTGCAACAACTACGTTTAATAAAACTTTTGACTTTGTTGTACTTTTGTCCTTGCGGTGTGGACAATTTGTCTCAAATTTGTGTTGTCAGAGTTCCCCATTTTTTGTCGCAAGTTTGTCTTGTTTTTGTTTGTGTTTGTGTTTGTTTTTGTCGCCTTGGTCTGGACCCTGCATAAGATATTTTCGTTGGACACCTTCGAGCGCACTGATATATTCAGTATAGAGAGTGTTCCATATTATACATCCGTAGTCGAGTCTAGATCTTACATAAGCAAAATACAAAGTACTAAGAGACACAGAGTGTTACAAAAGTGCTTGCATGTTCTAAATAAGTCCAAGCATATAGTTCTTGATATTGCGCACATGGACTTTTTGTATGTTAAAACTTAGTTTACCATCGAAGTACACATCCAGGTCTTTAAATAAATCAACACGATCTTATGTTATAGATTTCAATGTGTACTGAAATATAATCTGATTTCTTTTCAGCGTGAAAGATAGAACAACATTTCCGATTTTTCTTAAGTTTCTTAAGAGTTTTTCGAACTGGACATTGTTTTTTTGTTGACAATTTACTATCGATACATCTTCTGATATGCTACAAATAATTACCTACTTACATTAAAAAATACACAAAATTAAATATTAAAGTTTAGTGTTGTCACTTAATATATTTCTCTCTCTACTTGTTTCTTGATACTTTTGTGTACCGGACACGTATTTCCATAATATACCATGTAGAGAGCATAGGTTCTCTAAGCCCTGCCTCCAAGCTTAGTTGAAGCTACGCCATAATTGGAAATGGTTGAATGAGCTGAAAATGAAGATGATGATGATGAATACGCTTATTTAGTAATTAAATTAAAAGATCTTCCGATTGAATCCATTTTTTTCTCATCTCATTTTGATTAGTCTTACTAATTATGGAAAACTAATTTAAATATCTGTGAAAAAGTAGTCGTATTATTTAAGTACTTGTTGTTCGTTTTGGCGCTAGTGATAATGACTGATAAATATTCGAAGTTATTAAAAATTTATTGGAAACCAAACGAGCAAAATTAGAATAGTCAACTATTTCACTCATTGTTGGCATAACTCACGTAATTTTTTCTCTAAAATTGTATTAAATATAATTAAATATGAGAACAAATCAATAATACTATCTGTTGCTATCCTGCCTTCTCAAGTTTCCTCACCATCTGTAGTAACAACAGGTATACCGCGTGTTTACATAAAAATTCCTGAAATTCCCCAAAAGACTTCTGTCCGTTAAACTCCAAATAGTAGGTTTATAAATAGGTTAGGAGGTTTTATTTTTTCTTGGTATATCGGAGGATTATTATTAGACGAATGCATTTCTCTCTAATAAGAAGGCGCAAAATTTACAGAACAGACTTAAGATTGAATAAGAATTGTGTGTATTTCGGAGTATTTGTGAAAAAAAAAACTATGAGATATATTTTATGTGTTTTGCGGAATTTTTGCTGGAAAAGTGGATCTGTAATTCCGCGATAGTACAGTATTTAGTGTATCTTAGTGTGTGTTGTGATCATCAAAAATGTTGCACATTTGTCGATGTTCAGGTAATTTCAATCTATGTATTAGATACGTCTTTTTTATATGGTAAAAACATAGTTCATATGTGTATATATTTCATATCATCATCATTCTCAGCTCATTCAACCATTTCCAATTATGGTGTATCGTCCTCACATATTTTTAGATACTCTCATTGTAATTGGGCCCATTGTTGTCTAAGTTATCCCTGCTAATTTCCAAATGCAACGGTCCCATTTCAGGTTTTGTCTTCTTGTAGGTCTCTTAATTCCTCGTAGATACCATGCTGTAATTTTTGTGATCCATCTACGGTGTCCTGCCCATTCCCGCTTGAGGAATTTGATTCTGTGGATGACATCTATTACCTGGATCTTTTGTCATATCCACTCTATTCTTTAACGGTCTTCCTTGGTTATTTGCGGCATATTTCGTTCCATTGAGTGTTGTGCGACCTTGCCGTTTCCTTATAATGTCCATTTTAAGTGTCCAGGTTTTTATAAATCGTATTTTAAATTTCAATTTGGAGTGCCATGAAGTGTTAAAAACAATAATGTTTAATCAAGGAGCCTTAGAAAAATAGATTTGATTGTCTAATGTTTTTCGTGTCTTGTCCTGGCCGGATAAAAATGCCCAAATCGTTTTTTAATCATATCTCAATTTTGCAAATTTGGAAAAAGGGTGGTTCATTAGCATATTTGGAAAAAGTTTTTTTTAGGAATAATTTGGTACTAGACACTTAGTATTTCGAGTCAAATTGTCGTTATGAACCACATGTTACAATATCAAATAAACCACATGCGAAAATGTCAAAAGTTGACATATGATAAGTCATTCTATTTGGAGTGTCATTTTCTCTCGAATAAATGACCGAAAACCATTGGATAGGTCAATCAATCCTAATTTATGTCATAGTTAACATGCCAAATCTCGTTTTTTTTATCTAAATAAATAAAAAAGTTATAGGGGTGGGCGGGGTGAGCAACTTTTGAGACGCACCCGGTATGAATGTACGTAAGACATAGTTTTAAGTCATTTTAATCCGAAAATAAAATATATATACACAAAAAGGTTATGCTTTCTTTGGCCTTCTTTAGCAAAAGCATTTCTTTGGTTTTTGTTTTACTGGATATGATTTAAATCCATAAAGTCAGGATTTAATTTGAAGAGTGTATTATCAAATAATTCTCTGAACTTCAAAAATTTAACATCAAAGTAATATAAATGAATTAGAATGAGTGTCATATATAGAATAGTATACAGTTAAAGACAGTAAAGATATAAGTTTAAAGTATGTTTTCAGGATAAAATTATAAATGATCATATTTGTTTTGAAACAGCTTAAGATAAGTATAGGACATTGTACATGAAATATATAAAGGGTGTTCCAGACTGAGCCTCGATTAGAAGTTTCTAGAGACCCAAAATAACTAGATCGGAGCTCTTTGGCATATGATTATTGCACAGAGAGATCTTTCGGTTAAACCGATTTCCTTCCGGAAATACCGCAAGTCGACACTGTCATTTTTTCTCTTATATTTGACTTTTATGAATGTTGACACTTAAAACATACGCTCCAACAATTAGTCACTCGGACGAGGAAGTAGAAGAATTCTGTAATGAAATCAACCAAGCATTGGACAGGAAGAATAGTCATTTAAAATATCTAATAGGGTATTGGAAAGAACAATTGAAAAATTGAAAAGAACAATTTGTATTGGAAAAATCTGAAATAATGATATGCAAAAATGCTCCGATCTAGATATTTTAATTATCTGTAGTTCTAATGTAAGTTCAACCTGAGACACCCTCTATATATTTAAAATTTTCTGCTGAATCCAACTATTGAATAAAATATTGAATGTTGAATTTAAAATAAGTAAATGGGTATTGGCTATTTTTACATCACACACCTGTTTAAAAAGTTTTTGTTGGAAAAATGTACAAATAAAAATACCATTCCACATGATCCCATTTATTTGCCATCGATTTTATTCCGATTCATTAATATACACTGTTGCTGAGAATTAAAACAGTACAAATTTTAAAGTGAATGCCCAAGGATTTGGTTACTTTAGCTTGACAACGGTGATGAGTAAATGAAGTTTTCAGAAAATATCGAAAATAACTTAATGCACGAATGTATCCAAATGTGTCGTTTCATTTCATATTTCACGTGCAGTTTTAACCATTAGTTCGTTTGGCCAGGTAATTTTAAAATAACTTTCTATTTCCGTTGGACGTCGAAGAGTAAATGGGAATGGAAAATGTTTTCTACAGGGTGATTAAACGAAAAATATCCAGCTTCGAGACAATTTAAATACTCTTATAAATACTTTTAGATCCTGTAATCCTTAGATGCATATTTTTTGGAAAGGTTCGAATGTCTTTTTCATCATGGCAAGCCAATTCATCATTGCAAGCTAGAATTATCTCGATCAGTACTTATTTTCTACAAATACTTCTATTAGACAAATCCATATGAATATTTGCATAATAATTACATTTCTTCATTCGCAACTTGTTTTGTGTGCTAAAATTTTAATTTGTTTACTAACGACATAAATTATTAAATTCAACTTGTGAAACTTTTGAAATACACTTTTATTCAGAAATAAAAATTGGTATGAAATATTTGTTTTGTAATTATGAAAACAAAGCAATTGTCAAATTTGACGCAGAAATAGTTTGGTTTCCTATAGTATTATCTGCGATGTAGAATATTTAGAAATTATATTTATAAAAGAGAAAATAAAGGATACAATGATGAGTCATAATGAATTTTCCATTTCTAGATCCACCCTCCTCCCAAAACTTACAGTACACTAAAAATTATCTCATTGAATTTGTTGCTCAAAAGATCAAAAGCTGTATGTATTCCAAAGTATATAACTATGTATACAATGGTGTTTTTGATTCTTTTGTTTCTTGTTCATGTAACGATTGTTTCCGGACACTTAAAACTGACATCATAAGAAAACTACAGGTCACGCAATGCTCAATTGAATTAAATATGCCGAGAACAACAAAGAAAGGCTGTAAAATAATAGAGTGAATACAACAAAAGATCCAGGTAATAACGTCATTCATAGAATTCAAATCCCCCAAAAGTGGCAATGAGCAGGGCACCTGGTAAAGGCTAAGAACATAGTAAAGCGACGAGGATAGCGGCGAGCAAGCAACGCGACATCGCGTCCAAAACAAACCTGTGAAGACAAGTACGTGCGAACATAGTAAAGCGATCTGCTCGAGCGGTTAGATCGAGCGGCGAGATCAATTCAAATAATTTTGTTTTCGTCGCTCTGTCGCGCTGTAGAAAATTATGGATTCCCAAAAATTAATACATTTAGTATTTGTAAGAGAGATTTTATGGGATATGAGAGATAGTAATCACCATAACCGGTACATTTTAGATAAGTTATGAGATAAAGTGGCAACAAATTTCCGTAAAGGTTATAAAACTTGCCACACTTTCTCGGGTTTTTGAAAATTTCATCTAACCAAATATTTGCGACACTACTGCCCAGAATTTTAGCCACTGTTAACATTTTAAATTATCAATAAGCAAATGAAAATAATACATTTGCACAAGTATCTCGCTAATCCTCGCCGCTCTACTATGTTTTAGCACCTCGAGGCTTGCTCGACGCGGTATCGCGCTGCTAGCTCGCCGCTCTCCTCGTCGCTCCACTATGTTCTTAGAAGGATGGACAACAGATGGACCACAAAATTACAGTATAGTACCCAGTGGGAATTAAGAGACCTAGAAGAACACCTAAGATGGGACCATGATATTAAGAAATCAGCAGGGATAACTTGAACCCGCATAGCCAACAATAGAAAAAAATTGTGTGTGCACTATTTGCGCATATTTCAAATTAAACTTCTTCTTACTTCCGTCTGTCTGTCTGTCCGTCTGCCCGTCTGTCTCTCTGTCCATCTGAGAACTCCATTTGTGTATCCCACGTGCCGAGTTTTGTTCCAATCGACCCATAATTAAGAAGAATCCTGAAAAATTCGTCCATTTAGAGGCATCGGTTCGAAACGTCGAGGACGTTATCCTGTAGCCCGTCCCAATTATGCCGAAATCGACCCAAGTTTTTCTTAGCAGCAAATCCTTAGTCCCACCCTGATGAAGATGTAAACAAAAAGTCGTATCCAACTTTGCAGGGTGTGCATCGTCGCGTCGCTCACATAGCCTACGTAAAATAAATTTTCAATGAATGAATTTCTTCCCTTGAAAAATGAATGTCTTCACTTCAAAAATGGACCTAATCACAAAGAGAGTATCTATATACGTAAGGGAGGTTTACACCATAATTCGAAATAGTTGAATAAGCTGGAAATGATGGTGAGGGGGACAATGGTCATGAAATATGTGAAGAATATAAATGCAGGTTCTTGCCCAGGAACTGTTATGAATGCAAATTTCTTTGAGCTTGGATCAAAGATAAGCTTGGATCAAGCCAACGAAGTTGTAGGCAAACTGTTCAATGCTGAAGGCGAACGATTCAATTAAGCATGCTGTGGATATGTCTAAATACCTAAAATTATTGTATTTTTGTATAATAAACAGAAATCGTGCATTTTGGAATGAAATAAGCTTTGAAAATGCATTGTATTTAGTCCTTTGGAAGAAAAAAAGTATTTCTAAATAAGTTAGCCGTCATCTTCAAAATATTAGGTACCTACTACCTACTACAATTTCAGTATTACAGGGACTAAGTTGGTATAAGTATAGTCTTTCCAATGACAGTGCACTGACAGCGGCATCATCTTAAATCAAAAAGTACAGTATTTCTGTCACTTTTTGAATGTCATACTAGATTGATTTGAAGACGGAACAAAATGTCTAGAGTCTAGACTCTAAAATAAACTATTCTAGTTCACACCATCCAATGTACCCGCAAAATAGTTATGATTTGAGACTAAATGTGCATGCATTTTTAAAATTTGTTTTTATTTTTAGATGATTTAAATCGGAAAACAACTCTTCGACATAGTGTGGCCGTCGATACAACAACAAAACGAATGGAACGAGAAGACACTTTGTAAGTAAACCATAAAATTTAAATTATAAGTACTTTTGTTTACCTTAGCGACATATATTAAACGTAAATTTGTATAGTTTTAAGCCTCATTCAGAACCCCGCAATTAGTGGTATAAATTAGTGGTTTCAATTACACTTTATACTTTTTAATTTACGATCATTCACAATGTCTAAAAAACACAATTAAAATTATTATAATACCCTAGCAACAGCTCGCGGTAATCAGTTGTATCCATAGAGAAAGCCTAATAGGTATTTAGCTTATAAAACAATCAAATTTTCGTTTCTAACCACAATTTCGCTTGACGGAAGATAATCAAAGATCAAAGTGACATTTTTCGCAAATTGTGAAGTATAATTAGTGGAAAAGTTAAAAGTTTGATAACTTTTTCTACTAATTGAAAATGTCTACCACGTGATTTCAATTAATATTGATTCCAAATCTATGACTATGATAATTTATATCAAGATTTTGAATTATATTATTTGAAATTAAGCTCAATTGCGTTTTAATAATGTTTACACAATACACTTTTTTTTTCTTATACAACTTGTTTTTTGTTTTACACCTAATTAGTTTTGTTCTTTGATGTTCTGAATGCTTACACAATTGAAACCACTAATTTATTCCTCTAATTGCGAGGTTCTGAATGAAGCTTTAAGCCTTATTCAGAATCTCAAAATTAGTGAAATAAATTAGTGGTTTCAATTAATTTACTGGTAAAAGTTTGTTAAGAGTTTCTACTACTAATTGAAAATTACTAATACTAATTTTGACGTTCTGAATTCTTACATTGAAATTAGAGGGACAAACTCTACGCTAATTGAAAGTTCTGACTAACATCACGTGCCTGTCACTAATTTCGAGGTTCCGAATGAAGCTTTACTTGTGTGTGTGGACCAGCTTTAATTTATAAAATGCGATATATAAAATCGTAAAATAATTGTTTGCTGTTATAAACCTATGAAATTTAATTATTTTTGTTGACTGGCCGGCTCGGCTGGTTGATGCTCATCACGATTTATTTTATCAAAATCCTTCTAACAAATAGAAATGATTGCTGGAAAAATTGATCTCGCCCTCGGCAACATAACATCTTCCGTTCGCTCTCTTCTTTGTCCACTTATTCCATTTCTAATCGAAAAAATGATTTCCGTGATTTATCGGTTATGAACGAAATAAATCTCGAAATACTTTTTGTACTGATTCGCGGATGATTAATACGTTTTACACTTGAGCCTTGCCGAACGGTTAAGACGACGGATTTATAGGAATATAAATATTAAATGGACGTCTAACTCCTATTTTGTGAGAATTTATTGAAGTATGGCGTATTGGAAATTGATAGTTTGCGTGTTAGAAAGATGGCGTATTTTGTTTTAATTAATTAATAAGAAACTGTAAGAATGTGGAAAAGAAACTGCATATTACGTATGATTTTTGATATTTTTGATTATGATATTTTTTTTGAAAATAATTAAACACGCTATGAGAAACGCGTTTTGAAAGAGATGTTTTCCCAAAGTCCAAAGTTATACATATTTTTAACATTTCTTTATATACTGTTATAATAATTAGACTTCATCGCGATAAATCCAATTCCAAATTTAATATAGCGGACTCTCAAAGGAAGCGCACTATTACATACATTAATTTCTTTTGACTCTGACCCAACACATGACCCAGATTGACGGAAACAGTACTAGGAGAATTTTCAGGTGAGGGATTGAAACCCTCAAAAAGAAAATTCCACTTCTCCAACTCCCAGTGGATCACATACCCAGAATTTACAACTTTGAGAAACACCTCACTGTAGTATTGAGTAATAAAAAGGATTGGAAGGAAGAAAAGTTTGCTCAGCATGCAAAAGACCATACCATAACGTAGTATACTGACGCTTTCAAAACCAATGCAGGGACAGGGATAGGAGTATTTGGACCGAAAACTAAATACTCCGAACCAATAGGCACCTACCCCAGCATAGTTCAGGCAGAAATCTACGCTATCGAAAGATACGTACAATTTATCGTAGATAGGAACTATCGAAAACAGGAAATTGCCTTATCATATCCGATAGTCAAGCAGCATTAAACGCTATTAACTTAGTAACCATCAATTCGAAGTTGGTCAAAGAATGCCTAGAGAAGCCCAACTAATTAGGCAAAGAAAATAAAGTCCTCCTACTCTGGGTGCCTGCTCACCAAGGGATAGAAGGCAGTGAAAAAACAAATGATCTAGCTAGAAAAGGAGCGAACACTCCACTAACTGGACCACAACCGTTCTGTTTTCCAAGCGGGAACCAACTGAAAGCGGAACTGAAGAATCTGGAAGACTCCATCAGTAACCTGGAATGGTCTAAAGTTGTCTCTTGATATTTTGTCGATTTGGACCTTCTTGATGAGACAAACGCAATTTTATTAATTTGCCTTGATCCAAGTATAATAGCAACCTTTAAAAAAATCTAATATCATTAACTTGCGAAAGTTTTAAATAAGTACTCATTGATTCCTCATCAAAAAATATTAAAAAAAAGTTCGCATAAACATGGGTATGGAATTGCATAGTTTAGAGTTACAGGTTGTTAAAAAATTTTAAAATCATGTTTTTTGTAATTATCTTAAATACTTTAAAGAGTCTTTGGACTATAACTATACATGGTGTCTCAGAAATAAGTGCAAATATTTTAGGGGGTGGTAGATCTCGATAAAAGAAACATATTTTCTCTTTATCGTTTTTCAAATAAGTCCAAAATAATGGAGTTTTTACTTTGAAAATTTAAAAAAAAAAGATTTTTAAAAAAAAATTAAAAAATTTCTAAAATTTTGAGAACCACTGGATCTTTTCTGGATTTTCTGTCTTGTAAATTTATTCTAATACCTGTGTTGCCATATTATCAAGAAATTATGTTTTTTAACAAAAAAAATAAAAAAAACCCAAGAAAATTTTCAAAAAATTTCGAATTACCAAATTTCTTTTTTCGCGAAAAAACTTCATAGGCGTGTTTCTGGGGTTGAATTATACTACCAGTTAAAATATTTGCATATTTACTTATATCTGGGACACTCTGTATAGTCAGGAAATATATTTTCTTTGTTAAAACAGACCAATTACAAGCAGTGCCGTCATTTTCTATAGTATGACTTTTTATTTATACTATTTATCTAAGAATAAATTTTTTCTATTATACACAAATACATTTTTATTTAATGCATTGATTAGATGAACATATAAATCGTGACTTCCACGTTACCTGCAATTATTCAATGCTATGTAAAGTAACGAGTATGCGATACTGAAAATATTACAAGCCAGGATGTGGGTCATTTATTTTATAGTCTCCACCGGTACTTTATGTTTAACATGGGTCTTACGATCTTGAGGGAAATTGCCTCGATGTTTACCTTCTTCAATCTGGTTTAATGATGTTATCTCCGAACTATAATAACATCCCTAAGTTGTGGAACGACAACTAATTATTAGACCGAACAGACACTGTTAGACACTGTTAAGGAAAGGGTAAAGTGAGTTAAGATCTCGATAGATAGCAATAATGTAATTATAAAGTCCGGGTGAGAATTTGTATCACGTAAAAATAAAGTTAGGTTGAAAGTAAATTATGATGTTTCGATATAGTTTTTACCATCTAAGACAAATAATAATTTAGATAGGACTTAACAGTAAAGACGGATGACAACCCAAAATATACGGAGCGACCAACAATGATTGAAATAGTTGGGGATAGAATAGACGGTACGGTCGAAAAGTTGAAAATAAAACTATACTGAGTGAAAAAATATAAATTTCCATCACTTTTTTACGTAAAAAAGGTTCCTTTATAGAAATATCAATATATTTAGAATGGAAATAGTCAATACCAAGTCATTATTGACAAAAAATAATCTTACAGGGTGCCCCATTAGTGCGAGAAAATCCAATATCGTCGTTGTTGTCGAAGATATGAAAAAAGTTTTATACATTCCAACGTTTATAAAGGGGCGTATCCCAAAAATATTTTGTTATATACAGGGTGTCACAAAAAAGTTATGATAAAGTTTTATTTTTTTTAATTGCAACCCCCATTTTTCTGTTGATAATCAGATTCGCCATAAAATTCTGCGTATATATTATTTTTATTTGATTCACTTTACGGTTTTGCCATTCTATTACTTAATTTACTAAAACTTTGGTTAAAGACATTATATCTGAAAAGTGGTAAAAAACTAAAGTGAATATAACTTTATTAACACTTGGTTATATTTTCCTAAACAACATGGATAACAGAACAAATCCGCGTAGAAAAATTTACATTATTATATACAGGGTATTTTTTATGGTTGCATCATTTTATCGTCACCAAAATCGGTATATTTAAAATGTTATAGCTCATTTATTTTTAAATGCAACACTCTGTATATTATTTTTCTGTCAGATGCAAAATTAAAAAGTGAACATTTTTTGTATTTAAAGTGAGTTGACTGTGGGGTGTAGAGGTTCTATAAGGAGGGGTTTCTGGAATCTCAAATTCCAAGAGGGTGAAAACGCCCCTCAAATATTATAATATTTGTTATTTAAAAAACGGTTAGTCTTTCGGGAAAACGCTTGGACAAGCCTAATTTATTTGGTTTTTTTACATATTTTGAAATTTTTTAAAAGATCATACAGGGTGTTCCAAAAAGTTGGATAATTTCTTAACCACGATTCTGCTTAAACTGCTTGACGTAAAAACCTTATTTTTGGCAAACGGATTTTTCGAAAGTCAAATTCCAAAGAGATGAAACTACCCCTCAAATATTATCAAGTTATATAATAATATCGCCATATTGTTTTTTCTCATGCTGACATAAATGTCAGAAAATTTTATCCAGTTTGTATGTTAATGGTAATTCTTGTTTTGCTTTATCATCACCATTACAATGATTAATTTGACGCGAACGAAGTCGCTGGTACACGCTAGTATCTGTATAAAACTTTTTATCATATCTTCGACAATAACGAAGTT